ATTTTACTATAAAAGTTGTGGCAGGTTGAAATAATTTGGTCAGCAATTGGTCTGATTTTTAATTCTTTGTGTATTTGCAAATTTCTAACGAACCAAGGAGAATTAACTATTTCTCTTAGAATCTTGTTTTGAAAGACTTGTAACTTGTGTCTGTACGTTTTGAACACTGTAGCCCATATGGGAATTGCGTAAAGTAGTGTCGGTCTAATCAGCATCATGTAAACTCTTTTCTTTAATTGAATGTTTAATTTTGAGTCTCTTTTGATGAGAGGGTACAGAGCCATTTTTGCGGCTGTAGCTTTCCGTAAGGCATATGCAGTCTGTTCCTTGAAGAGGAGTTGTGAATCGAAAATGACACCCAGGTATTTAGTACTATTGACGACGGGGAGTGGCTGATCTTCTATCTTTATATTTACGTTTACTGGAGTAAATTTTCTATACCTTCTAAAGAGCAGAATTTGACATTTAGCCGGATTGACTTTAAGTTTCCAAGATTTGAGGTAATGTGCGATGATGTTTAACTGCTTCTTCTAATTTGTCTACGGCAAACTGTGGTTTTAAAGATTTTGTAAAAATAGCGGTGTCATCTGCATATTTCACAAGTTTTGAATTTAGTGGGATTGGCATATCATTAGTAAAGATATTAAAGAGAATTGGCCCCAAAACACTTCCCTGGGCGACGCCGCTTTTGATTCTTTTTCTTGAGGATAAAGTATTATTGATTTTGACATGAAAATTGCGATTTTTTAGATAACTTTGCATTAGTTTGATAAAATTTATAGGCAGATGAGCAAGGTGTAGCTTAAAGAGGAGTCCCTCATGCCACACCTTGTCAAATGCCTTTTCTAAATCTAGGAAACAGCTTGCAATAGTATTTTTTTTTGGAAAAAGGAATCGGCAATAAATTCAGTAACATTGAGAAGTTGATGTACTGTGCTATGCTGTGGGCGAAAACCAAACTGTTCATTTTGAATTATCCCTCTATCTTCCAAGTGTCTGGTCAGCCGTTTCTGTAGAACTCGCTCAAAAACTTTGCTAAGGACTTGGAAGCAGGCTAATTGGGCGATAAGAGTTAACATTTTTTGGATCTTTGCCAGGGTTTAACAAAAGTAATGATATGTGCCATTTTCCACTGCTGCGGAAAATAGTTAAGCCTTATGCAGGCATTAATTATGTTGGTAATTAGGACAATATATCCCTTGGGGAGAATTTTGAGCACTTTATTTGTTATCCCGTCGTAGCCGGGGGCCTTTCTATTTTTCAGATTTTTTATAATGTTTTGAATTTCAATGGGCGAGGTGTAACCAATATGCTGTCCATCTGTTCTATCAGGAAGGTGAATAATGAAATTAAAAACTTCCTCTTCTGTATCTTCATCTTGTGAGTTATTTGTCGTGAAGGTTTTTCAAGATGTGTTGCAAGAACTTCTGCCATATCTTTTTCAGAATATGCGATTCCAGTATCGGTGTGCAACGGTCCAATGTTGTCGCTATGAGTTTTTCTGAGCGCTTTCCCAATACGCCACACTGTATCAGGGTTGAAGTCCATTGAGTCTAATAAATTAGTCCAACTATCCGATCTGTATTCACTTAGAAGATTTTTAATATTCCTATTTTTTCTGTTAAGAATTCTTTTGATATTAGGATCAGCAGTACGGCGCCAAATTTTAGCGGTGCGATTTTTGTCCTTAATTTTGTCAATAATGTTATCCGGAAGTTTTTTCTTTTTATGTTCTTCATATTTAGTAGATTTGTCAAGAGCACTTTTTATACAATTATTGACCTTAGTGATTTGATACTCAATGTCAGTAATATCGGCTAAAGCAGGATGCGCTGGTAGTTTTTCCAGAGAATGAATGAATTTATCCCAGTTTTGTGATTTTTCTAAGTGGAATATTTTTTTCAAAGCGTCGTAATAAGTAAATCTGACAGGCAGATGATCGGAAGTTAGCTGGTGTGAAACTTGTAGGAAGGGAATTTGTGCAATATTTTTGTGATAACAATATCAAGAACTTCAGCGCTGCCAGTATGGCTGTATCTGGTGGGATCCGTTGGTCCAAAGATACTTAAATCATTTGTAAGGGCATAATTATGAAGGAAGTTCCCGTTTGCATTTGCACGTCGAGAGTTCCAGGAGTGATGCTTCGCGTTTAAGTCTCCGGCTAGTATTGTGGGAAGCATAATGCCGCTAAAGATGCTCATGTCACTGTTGCTGATATATGTCCCGGGGATTATAAGCAGAAATAATCACAATAGGTTCATTAGTGCGAGAGTGAGCTATGATGGCAGTAGTTTCAATATTACTAGAACTTGGGAGATTAAAATAGGTGGCCTGCAAGTGTCTTCTGATGAGAATCAGGGTGCCACCACCCCTGTTATTTTCTCTGTCTTTTCTAAAGGTTCTATAACCTTGGATGTTAAATTTATCACTAGCTCGAAGATGTGTCTCGTTAATTAAGAAAATATCAATGTCATGGCAATTAAGAAAGTTTATGATCTCAGTGTTCTTGCCGCGAACTCCGTTGGCATTAAAGAAGGCGAAATTTAAACTGCTGGAGGCAGTAAGTTGGATGCTTGCATAGTTATTTACAATATTAACACTCATAATTTAAATTTGCTAAAAGTTCAAAGGCTTCCCACCCTATTGGAGCTTTTCCATTATTGACTTGGCTTTAAAAAAGCGTTCAAATAGCGCTTTGCCTTGAGTAAATAGATTTTTGATCCATTTCAGGAAATCCGGGGCGGAGCCTAATTGTTCTCTTTCGTGAGCTTCATTCTGGTTGGACTGATGAGGGACTGGCTTCATTAACATTTTCGTTAGTGTTTCTCCTACTCGGTAATGGGGGGGGAAGTTCTCCAAGTTGTTTTCTGGAGGATTTGTTCTTGTCTTTCTCCAGGCATCTCTTTGATTTTCTTTTTCAGCAATCTTACGTTTAATATTGTCAGGGTGCATTTCGCAACCCCTGTAGGAACTGACGTGGGGTCCCCCACAAAGGCAACACTTTCCTGGAAGATTTCTATCTTTGTACAGCTAGTGGTGATATGGTTTAATCCGCACTTTAAGCATCTTGGTTTATGTTTGCAGTGGGAGCGACTATGTCCATATCTCTGACAGTTATGGCACTGTTTGTGTACCCTGGGGTTGGTTTGGAAAGAGGTAATTTTGACCGCAAGGTCCAAGATATGTGTTACCTGAAATATCTTTTTTCCTTCAACAGTCCGTGGGACTTCTACAAGGAAAGTTGGCAATTTGACAATTTCATTGTCAATCTTTTTGGTTATCTGTCTAACCGTTTTAACTGGAATTTTTAATTTCTTGGAGTTCTTCTAATATTTCTTCAGGTTTAGTATGCACTGAAAGCTTCTTTATTACTACTCTAATGGGCTTATCCCTTGGTAGGGGAAAAGTGTGATAAGGTATTTCCTTATTATCCAAAAATTTTGTGACTGAGCGATAGTCATCGTCAGATTTGACTAAACTTTTATGTGGATGTCTCCACCTTTTTGTACGCACTCCATAGCTGTGTAGTAAATTTTTTTAATTTCATCTCTAAGGGGCTTCCAAGACGTAATGTCAGATATTATAATCGGCGGTACACGGTTTGCAGTTTTTCTAGGGGCTATGAATTCGCCTTCTTCTGATTGGTCCATATCCTGAGGGTTTGTGTTGGGCGTTTGATTGACTTCTAAGGGTAGACATGCCGTCATCTATTCTAAGGGTAGAATATCTATTTTTTATTGTTGTAACAGATGAGTTACTGCTATCACTTAAAGTACGCTTGTGCGTTTTTTTGGGTTTAATCCAAGTTTCGCCCTGCTTAAGAGAGTTATTGTCTTGCACATTGACATTATTCATGTTTTGTTGGGTCAGAATCTGACCAATTCCTACAATCTCATCAATTTCCTTTGAAGATTTAATATTTTTTAATTGCCGTTTACTGAACAGTTTGGCTACCATAACCTGAAACAATTTTTCAACTTCTGGATCAACTATTTTTTTGACCACTATCAATAAGATTTTTTTGGATTTGGCAAATAGGTAGATATAGCATCTAATTCCTCTTCTGAAACCACTTTCAATAAGATTTTCAATAACATTTTTATCATTAATTAAGTTTAAAGTCTGAATGTACTCTAAATTTGGATTCATTGCAACAGTCTAAAAAAACCTACCGTCCCTAACGGAAAAGGCAAGTCCATCATGAAAACACTTGCAAAAATAAAAAAAACCAAACTCGAAAAACTACTTACGCGCACGATCGATCAGGAACACTTCACCAAGCGACCAGCTCACAGTAACTCCAAAGCTTGAATTTTTGCGCAAAAAGAAGCAATGAACAAGGACCGCAGCGACAATTTACAATAGCAGAAAATGACGCCGAGCAGCATGAAGTTGAGAGGGCGTGTCTTGCCCTTTTAGATGGTGGATAGATGCCGAACTCTCGGCCAATCACGGCTCTCGGTCTCTTCTGTGAGCTGCGAATAGCAGGATCGTATGCTGGCATCTGTTGAAGTGCTCGGTTATCAATCTGTTCAATTTTAAGGAATAAATTTTGACTATGTTTGGATTCGACTGCTTGCTCCTGAGCGTGAAGGTGCTCGTCCCCTCGCTCTGCGTTTTCGCTGTTCTGCAGTATTAACCTCTCGTTTTTCTGAGTTTGACTATTGTGACTGAGAAACTGCTGTGCTTTCTCGACTGTGCATTCAGGTCAGCATGCAAACCACTATGTTTAGTATGCTGTAAAACGACCTGCTTTTACCCTGTGCCTTTTAAGCATAGACTTTCTGCATTTCACTACTTCATCAACCGGCATCATGGAACGTTTTCCTGGACTTCATTGCAGCTGAGATTACTCAGCTGGAACTCCGTCAAGAAGACAAAGGTTTCCTTACCCCTGAAGAAACAAGAGACCTGAATTTGTTCAAAAAATTCCGAGCTCTTGCTGACCAGGAATTTGTGAACTCCAGAACACAGGACGACCGTGCTAAGACCAAAAACTGATGACAACCCTGGCTTCCCGCCTCTCCCAAAGATCAAACGCTCGACGTGCTGAGAGTCCCGCCAGGTCGGATGAGGACTTTACAAAATACAAGGCTTTAGATGTCAGCTCTGACTCCGATGGAGAACCCAAAGGAGACAGAACCAGACGCACCAGAAAACCTGCGAAAAAAGCTGTTGCACCCCTGGCTGCTGCGACTGCTCCTGAAATTCCAAAGACTCACCCTGTTGCTGATCTCACTCCGCAACAGAATATGGACACAGACCCGCCCCAGTGCAGACACCTCCAACCAATCAGAACGCTCCGATCAACAGTGCGAGAAAAACTGCCGCCGATTATAATCAAAGACAGCAGATTCACATGGAATGACTTAAAAACGCTGTTTAATAATAAGAATTTTTCTCTGCACGATTTCTATGGAGAAAACATGAAGGACGGAATCAAGATTAAAGTGAAATTGCCCACCATTTATCGGGAAATGGTAAAAGTGTTAGAAGAAGAAGGCATCAGGTATCACTGCTATGCGCTTCCCGAATCTAAACATATAAAAGCTGTGATACGTAACCTCCCGTCTTACATGGACCCTGAGGAAATTATGATGGATCTAAAAGAACATGGACTCGACGTCGTGCGGGTCAACCAACTCACTATCAGGCGTAACGGAGAAGTTATTAAGCTTCCCCTGTTTCTCGTTACTCTCACCCGCAAGGAGAAAAACAAGGAGATACACCAGTTAAAATTTGTGCTGGGAATGAAGATTAGTGTTGAGAGATACCGTGGCCGTAAGGGACCCTTGCAGTGTTATCGCTGTCAAGGGTTCCATCACGCCCAATCGCACTGCAATCACGAACCACGTTGTGTTCGTTGCGGTGAACCTCATGAATCATTTAACTGTGACAAGGATAAGGCAACTCCGCCTAAATGTGCCAATTGTCATGAGATAGGTCATACAGCTAACTACAGATTATGTGTGCGTTTTCCAAAACCAAAAACCACTCCGGCTGTGAAAACGTTCTCTGATCGGGTAGTGCATAATAAAACTTATGCACAAGCTTTAAACACCGGCCTCGCTCCTGAATTTCTAACTGAAGCAAAACAAGTTGCAGCTGAGCTACGTATGCTTGTCTCTGCTCTAAAAAAGAAACTGGATTTACTCTGATGGCAAAATCAAACGTATCTCAAGATCATACTCCTGCAGCCCCTGTTAATGGCTAATTACATGAAAAAGTGTACTCCCGTACAAATAATGATATGGAATGCCTGCGGGCTACCCACCAAAATTACTGAACTGCACCATTTTTTAAGTGAGCATGATATTGACATTGCAATCATATCAGAGACTCATGCAAAACCATGCCAACGCCTGAGAATTGCAAATTATAATTCATACCGCTGTGATAGACTTTCACACAGAGGTGGTGGTGTGGCAATATATGTGAAACGTAATTATGCATCTTGTCTTATATCTGATTCAAGAAATTTTAATTGTGAGCAAACTACTGTGTGTGTCACTCTTCCTGTGTTTAATAACATCAATTTTTGTGCTGTGTATAACCCTCCAACGAATAGACTATGTGATAATTTTCTAAATAGCATTCTACCGGATGACATACCTACCCTTGCTGCCGGGGACTTTAATGCTAAGCATATAGACTGGAACTGTCGTCGAACAAACCTAAATGGTAAAATTCTCCATGAATATATTTTACAGCATCCGGTGGCGCTACATGCCCCACCAGAATACACGCGGCTTCATAATAGAATTGAATTTTCTGATATACTAGACATTGCAGTCACTACAACGACTATCCCCGTTGCAATGGAAGTATTTCATGAATTGTCCTCTGACCACCTCCCCGTAATCGCAACATTAGGAGTGACAAAAACTTCTGAGTTCTCTACTAAGCGAATTACGAATTGGAATCTCTTCAGCAATATCATGAAAAATTCACCTCCTCGACTGCAAAATCTCAATACCAAACAAGGCATAAACACCGTAATTAATGCCTTAAGTGAAAGCATTCAAGGTGCAATTAAGGAAGCCAGTACTGAAATTACTAATCGTGATAAGGCTTTCAGACTGCCCCTTAATATACGACAGCTTATGAGAGAGCGAAATAGACTCAGGAAATGTTATCATTTAACGTGGGACCCGGCACTTAAACGTGAAATAAATCGTAAAAATAAGCAAATTCAGAAGGCCATTAAAACCTTCAAAGAAGAACTATGGGATGATAAAATGTTAAATCTGGATTCTAGAGAAGGTACATTCTGGTCTTTAATCAAAAATTTTAAAACTTCCTTCACAAGTAATCGACCCCTCTATGACAGAGGTAATATTGCCATCTCCAATCAGGAAAAGGCAGAAATCTTCGCAGCACACCTCCAAGAACAGTTCTCGCCAAATGATTGGCCAAATGACTCTGATTTCGAATTAAAGACCCTCCTACGAGTGAGGGATTGGCTCAACGCCCCTTCAGTCAGACTTCCGATTAAATATGCCACTCCTACTGAAACGACTAATATTATCAAACACCTGAGACAAAAGAAATCTCCAGGAATTGATGAAATCAGCAATACAGCAATTAAAAATTTGCCGCCTAACATCATCTGCAGCCTGACAAGTATTTTTAATGCTTGTCTTGCTCTTTCTTACTTTCCAACACCTTGGAAAATTGCTAAAATTATTTTACTACCTAAACCGGCTAAAGATCACACCCGACCAGACGGATATCGTCCTATTAGTCTACTGCCGGGCTTAGGCAAAATTTTTGAGAGAATTATCCTGAATAGACTGAAACCATATTTTCAGCATCTTCCGCCGGAACAATTTGGGTTCCGTGCTCACCTCTCAACAACGAAGCAACTTGTCCGAATAACCGAATTCGCTGGTGCAGCTCTGCACTGCAAACTTAATGTTGCTATACTCATGCTAGACGTGGCGAAAGCATTCGACCGCGTCTGGCATGAGGGCTTAATTGCTAAATTAATTGACCTTCAACTGGACAGAGAACTCATTCTGCTAATCCATTTTTTATCAGGGATCGGACATTCAGAGTCTCGGTAAAAAATGAATTATCCAGCACTAAAATAATGACTAGCGGTGTTCCACAGGGTTCTGTGACTGGCCCTATACTCTATCTATTCTACGTTTCAGACTTTCCGAGATTGCATTTAAATCATAATTCTATGCTAGCCTGTTATGCAGACGACACTGCCCTGGCAGTGAAGTCTGCTAACATCAATCATGCTATTCGGAAACTCCAAGACACTATTCCCTCCATAGAACAATGGTGTGGATATTGGAAGATACGAATTAACGCTCAAAAAATCGCAGAGCTCCTACTCATAAGGAAAAGGAAGAAAAATGTTCCGATCAGGCAAAGTGTTTATCTTTTTAACGAGGCTGTGCCTATCGTGAAACAAGCCAAATATCTGGGCATCACCATCAACGACAAGCTCACATGGCAGCATCACATCCAACAAATCAGGGATAAAGCGATTAAAGTCATGAAATGTTTATATCCTATGATAGGGAATATTCAAAACTTTCGTTGGACAAGAAACGACTTATTTATCTAGCCACAATCCGACCCATCATGACGTACGCTTCGCCAGCATGGACTACCGCTACGAAGGGTGAAATCCAAAAATTACAAGTTGTGCAAAACCAATTTTTAAGAATTATCACAAATGCACACCCGTATGTGAAGAACAAACGTCTCCATGAAGATTTAAAAATGGATACAATAGTGGAATATTTAAGAAGAACTAACACGGCATTTTATGACGCCGCTAAGGAGTGCCAACATATGGACATTTTCAACCTATTTCACTATGAAATTTTACACGAGGACAGGCACCTCCGTCCATATGCCGCTTTTCTACTCAGTGGAAACCAGGATTTTCCAACATAATTTGTGTTTTTAAGTATGTAGTACTCTGAAAAACTTATTTGACTTGTAAATAATGATGTTTAGAAATCTTAGCCGGATGATCATGTGACACACACAGCCACGCCCACAAGATATTACTTATATTTTTCCTGTATATACTATTTTACTTTTTGGAATCGTATTTATTTTCTGCATTTATGACTGCAACACACACCTTTTATGAACTGATTTAGTACTATTTTATGTATAACTATTGTAAACCTTCAGATTTACAGCGCTACGATGCCTGGATACCTCATCGCCAACCAGATGTCTTATCGCTCATCACGTGACATTGGTCACACCACCTGCATCTGCTATCCTGTCTCCACGAGAACTACGTTCGGCATTTCCTTACCTGCAGCGCTCCTAGAAGCACCAAAGTTCGATAGCCGGAACACAACCTGCGATTTCGCAGGTTAATCGCGGCAAATAAAGTAAGTTGGAGTTGGAGTTGACTATGTTTTTTGATAAGATAATCCACAGGTTTAATGTTAAGGTCCGAATGAATCACATCTGTACGGACGTACCAGGCTGCATTTAGGGCCATACGTAAGGTTTTACTTTGAAAAGATTGAAGTTTTTTCACATGAGTTTTTGCAGCAGTACCCCAGATTGTACATGCATACATAAAGACAGGTCTTATAATTGATGTATAGAGAAGAATTTTGTTTTTAATTGACAGATGGCTCTTTCGAGCTAAAAAGGGGTAAAGTTGGGCTCTAGCACCTTTCGCTTTGTTGAGAACATTTTCAATGTGAAGGCGCCAGAGTAATTTTGAATCAAGTACAACTCCTAGGTACTTGTAAGAGTTTGACCAGGGAACATAGTCATCAAAGAATTTAATGTTAATGGAAGGGTACGGGAGGGGGCTACGTTTGAAGATCATAGCAGCACATTTAGCAACATTAATTTTTATTTTCCAAGTGATGAGCCAGTGCTCAAGGCTAGAGAGGTAACTCTGAATTGTTTGGACGAAGTTTTCAAGGCGTTTGTGTTGGGCTAGGATGGCCGTATCATCTGCATAAAGTGCGCAAGAGTGATACTAGGTGATTTTGGTATGTCATTTATGAAAATGTTGAACAAATTGGGCCTAAAAGTGACCCTTGGGGGACGCCGCTTAGTATAGGACGGGGTGTCGAAATGGAAGAATTAACTCGTACAGAAAAAGATCTATTAGTGAGGTACGAATTTAATTAATATGAATTAAATGGGCCGAAACGTCAAGTCGTATGAGATTGATAATAATTCCTATATGCCAAGTCCTATCAAATGCTTTGGCTATGTCAAGAATAAAGCGCCAGTAAGCATTTTGTTACGAAACCCTTCGTGAATGAACTCCACTGTCCTCAGAAGCTGGTACGTAGTTGTGCAGTGTTTTGCTCGGAAATCCAAATTGTTCATCAATCAGAACGTTGTGATTTTCGGAGAAAATCATTCAGGCGTTTAAGTAACACAAATTCGTATATCTTTGATAACGAAGATAGGAGGCTGATAGGTCTATAATTTCGAGGGTTTGAAAGGCTTTGGCCTGGTTTTGGAATAGGTGAGGCACTACAACCAGCTTTTTCTTGACAATTAGACACGCTGCAGTAGGCAACCAATGTTAAATTTCTGCAAGTCGTCCCTACTCCTCCGGATGTGATCAAGGTGACAGCCGGCAATGCCTCAAACGAGGGAGAAACCCCGTTTGGGTTAGTCTATTTCTTATAATGTCCATGTTATAAGGTCCATGCTGTCACTCACATGATGTCATGCGCACGCGGCCATGGACCTTAAGGTCCATGTAGCTAACGAAGCCATGTTATATCCAGTTGGCCGTGCTTCAGTTCTGTCAAGTTTCTAATTAAATTTAGTTAAAGGGGAAAGGCAACATTTTCTAGTCTCCGCGAAGAACGAAGTAAACAAAGTACGGTTTTCTATCACGCGATTCAACTGCATGTAGAATGTAAATAAATTTATGAATAAGTATCTATAACTTCGTAAGGAACAAAATATTGGTTCTATTGGAGTCAGAGAAGTGTTATTTTCCTAAATTTGCATACCAGACACTTCACTACGTTATACAGAAAAAATACACCAATTTCACATATAATTTCACTAAAATTTTCCTTACCTGTACATAATTCGTAACAATTACCATACTACCCATTCATTTTTTTTTTTTTTTTTTTTTTTTTTTTTTTTTTTACATACATTTATTTACATACGCTCATGCTGTCACATGCACTAAACTCTAAACTACCTTGTTCTCACGTCCGAATTTTCACTGTAATAGATGCCTGCGAATTGTCAACATCTAATTGCATTGCTCCCCAAGACTTTATGCCATGTAATTGCTTTCAATTTTCCAACATAATCTCATGTATATTCAACTTGCTATTTTCACCTACGGGTGAAGATGTACATGGGTGCAGCTATATTTCTAAAACCAAGCAAATGTCAATGGTATAAAATTAACGTACTGGTAAAAACTCTATGAAGTTGTAGGCCAAAAAATGCGTGACCATCAACATTATTATTTGAAGAGGATGATCTCGGATAGAAAACTGCCCTTTTTCTGCCAGCAACTGTCATCTTCAGAAGACTTCTTAATAATATGATTCTTGTTTATTTTTACATGAAGCTATGGAAAATAGTTCTGGCAAGTACAACTTGCAAAAAAAAATAATGTATTTTAAATATTTATTAAAAATATGTATTATATTTAATAAAGGCCTATTTCATAATTATTTAATGTCATTACTGTAAGTTGAACTTCACTCAATAATTAAGCAGGATGGTCTCGGATAGAAAATAATTCCATTTTTCTGATGGCAACTCTCATCTTTAAATACTTATTATAAATACTAAATTAACAGTATGCTTGTTAATTTCTATCTAAAGCTATGGAAACTAGTTCAAGCAGATGCATGCAACTGTAAAACATAATACCTTTAAACTATCTATTTAAAATATGGATTATATTCAATAAAAACCTATTTCATAGTTAATATTATTACTATACGTTAAAATTCACTTAGTAATTATGGAGGATGTTCTCGGATAGAAAATAGTTCCATTTTTCTGCCTGCAACTGTCATCTTGAGACACTTCATTTCAATAACATTATGTTTGTTTATCTCTACCTGAGGACTATGGAAACTAGTCCATCAATAAAAATAATATGTTTAACTACTAATATGTATTATATTTAATAAAAGCCTCTCTCATAATTAATATCATTACTGCAAATTTAATCAATAATTATGTAGAATGGTCTCGAATGGAATATAAAGCAATTTTTCTACATTGAGCATTCACCAGAAGCCAAGCAATAAGATCACTAACACTAATATTTTGACCCTGGGTTTAAATCTCAGCAGATGGGCTAGCTGGATATGCCTTTTCATGGTTTTCCCTACTTTAATGTGAAAAACACTGTTTCCCTTAGACAGTCCTTCACAAAAATTTCTTTCATCTTAGGCATACAGTCTTTGTGTGCTTTGCAGTAATCCACAAAATCTAACCTTTTATCAAAACAGTCAATCTACAGATGCTTAAAAAATATTGTTTTTACCTGAAGCTCTAGCAAATAGACTGTTATCACTTGTAAGTAAAATAATGTTTTTAACATTAATTTATTGAAAATATTGTTTATAATATTAATTTATTGATTGTATTGTATTATTTATTGTGTTGTATTTATATTTATTCAGACTCAATATCCTCATGGAAATTTTTAGCAATTAAGCAGGATGATAATGGATATCAGTCATGTTTCTACCAGCTAAGGTAGAAAAAATGGAATACAAACGAGAACACTAAATGAAGTTTCATGATTTATTTCCTGTGTAAAATAAAAAAAGACAAGTTCCCTTACACATCATCCAAAAAAGGCATCTCATTCCATAAGCATACAGTCTTTGTTCGCTTTGTCAGTCAACATCATTAATGCAAATATTTGTTTAACAAAGTTATGCATATCTAGTTCTACATGAAACAGCTTTCTTACTTCCGTAATTACCTACTGGAATTATAATTACCCTATATTCTGGCGTATAACACACACCTATAATTTCAAACTACATTAAAAGATTTTTAGATATATTCACCATATAAAGCATGCCCTTTACATTACAAAAATATGAAAGATAACTTGTACAGTGCTCTTATCTTTTGAAGTCATTCATTCAAAGACTTTTCCCAGGCTTTCGAACAATGGTATACTGAAATGACAAGCGATAAGGGGAACAATACTTTTGTGAGTGGGGTTGCTTGACAGAGTAAATAATTGTGCAAGGAGGGTGGGTTGTAGTCAGTGCAGGTGCGCACAAAAATGCTGTTCTATGGGTTTGAGAAAAGGGGAACTTAATTTGGTATGCGAATATATGAATTAGCAGATTTGCAGAATTAGAAGTCAGATATTTCCTCTTTTTGTAGTCATTTGAAGCTGTGACTTTGATGTGAACATCGAAGGCTTTAATAAATTGCATTTGCTTTAGTTGAAATACAGCTGATCTAATGTTCCTTTTAGTAGCAAATATGGATCCTGCAAAATAAAACAAACACAGCACTGTTTCAAATGCAAAGCCATTCAGTTTGTGAAACAAAATGGAAATCATGCTGCAGTGTTGGTCATAACTTGTGCAATGTTCTTATCTTTTGAACGTGAGATGCAATGCTTTTATCTTTTGAAGGTGTTGGTGGTAGCTTCATATGTGAATGGAAGAAAAATGAAATCATAATACAGTCAAAAGTCGTTAATCCGGACTCGTCGGGACTTCGGCGATTCCGGATTATCGATTTTTCCGGATTATAGATCATCAGTTTAAATCTCGTAAGATGGCATGCAGAAATTCTAAAATTAAAAATATGAAACCGTAATTTATGAAATAAAAAGACAATTATGATCGAAAGGGTATCAAAATTTGCAAAAAGAAAAAGCTTAATATTTATTTGTTACTTTATTAAACATTTCTTTCAATGTAAGTTGTTTAAGTTTTGCTTCGTTTCATGTGATAATATTTCTCTTAATTCTATTAAACAGACATAATTTCTTGTTCTTTTCAGTACAAAGTTCCGCCGTTCAAGTCCTATAATTGCTGTGTCAAGAACACCGACTAATTGTCAATCGAAATTTTTTTGTTTTCAATAACCTCTGTCACTTTCTTCGCTATCGGAAGCGAATATAATGACGGGAACTTGTTTTAAATCATATCAAAGACGGAGCATATCGAGATGAAATACTACATTTGGTAAGGAATTATAAGCCAAATAAAATAAAAACATCTGCGCTGAAGATAAGGATAGTGCTGACAAATCAACTTCCAATTCATTAGGCCCCCGCCGCCGAGCAGCGTGAAATTGATAAACAGATTTCGGATTTCAAAAAACATACTTTCACTTTAGATCCTTTACATATTAACAAATATATATCGGAAATTCTATTGATATAATCGAAAGTTTAAGCTTACTTTATAAAATTGCTCTACAGTCTGCAAAAAATAATAAGCCGGATGCATTTCGAAAATTAAGGAACAACGCAATCATCAACATTGATGAAATAGATAATTAGATAATTTAGCTTATACGTCCATTATACATAAAATGCGCACGCAAAAATGTATTCTACACTTGCGCACACTCATATGCGCGCGCAGTCGTAAAAGGTCTTACGCGCACGCGTAAACGCTTATGCGCATGTGTCAACGCGGCGCATGCGCATAAAGTTTTTAGTTTTGATGTCCGGATTATAGATTATTCCGAATTATGGGTGTCCGAATTAACGACTTTTGACTGTAATCAGTATGCCAAAAAAATATGCTTTGCGTAAAGGAGTAATAAAATGGCCTATCCTAGTAGAAAGTATTGCGAAATGGATAAATGGGCTCTATTAAATCGCTAGAATTACCAGAAACGACATTTGGGTAGATAAAGAAATCTGATTTTTGCATTATCATCTTATTCTAATTTTTAAATCTATCATTTTTATATCCAGAGTATAACACATACCTATAAATTTTGATATCATTTTCTGTATTAAAAGTGTACATTATATGCTGAAATATACAATACATTGTAATTAAATTACAATCATGATTACATTGTTATTAGGTTATGCAATTAATTTATAATTACAATTACAGCATGATTGCAATTACAATACAATTAGATTTCACAACTGCTATGTAATTACAATCAAGTTATACAATAACTCTATAATTACAATGTAATTGAAATTGCATTGTAACTGTAATTAGATTTTACAATTACATGTAATTATATATTAATTGTAATTGAAAAAGCAATTACATTGATATGGTAATTACAAAGTAATTATATAATCTAATTACAATTATATTGTAATTGTCTTAGTTTGGCAAAATGTAATTGTAATTGCAATTACATTTTGCTCAACTCTGCCCAGTTCTGATACTCATTCTATAATTTTCCATTTTATAAGAAGTCGTATAACATAAAATAACCATATGGATGTTATATGGAATGGAATATGTCATTTTGATTTTCATTTGATGTCATAGTATATCATTTTGAAATTCAGAATCAGATAGCAATCGGTCTTAGATTTACATCCTCTTTACTGAACAAATTTATCTGTTTCCAAGGGATTTGACACACATCCCTCTTCTTCAAAAAGCGAAAACATTCTGACAAATATGCTCTGAATATTTTATTATTGAAGAAGGGACATTTGCATCAATTTATTTTGAAATGCATGGAGTTTTTTTCATGAAACTAATATCAATCTAAGACTGAATTTTGCTTAGTTATATATAACATAATAAGACACTTATCCTAATAATAATAATAATGCATTAACAACTCATTATATGATTATTTACCTTCATTCTGCAGCAAATCCCACAAGATGATATAATCAGAAGAACATGAACAAAGGTAGAAACTGAAAGGATCATGAGAAAATGCAAGAGAAGTTACAGTGTTGTGATGCCCAATAAGTATAACAGGCTAAAAAAGAATACATATTTACATTTATATTAAACATGAAATGAAAAATTACAATACATATGATATGCAATTTGACAGTTAGCAAACTTTATATGCAAAACAATTCAAACTACTGTTGCTGCCACTATTTTTTCCAGAACACCTCTCCTGTACCTTTCCTCTAATTTACTCAGCAACTATGTTCCCTGGTCAAATCCTTATAAGTATCTAGGAGTGATACTTGATTAAAAAAATAATCTGGTGGCTTTATAGTGATGCTGTATTCAAGGCTGTGAGATCTCAAACCCCCTCTTAACTCAAAAGAGTCATATGTCTATTAAAAACAAAGCTTTTCTCTGCACTGCCATCATCAGACCAGTTTTTATGCATATGCATACCATATAGAGTTCTGGAGCAAAAATTCATATAAAAAAGCTTCAAATTTTTCAAAGCAAAGACCTTCATTTAATCCTGATACATCCATAACAATGTGATTCAATTTGACCTCAACATTATGCCTGTTGATGTTTTAATTAAAAATTTTTGACAATATTTTTTTTTTTTTCAAAATTTAAAAGATTGTAAACTGTGCACTACTGCAGCTACCAGTATAGACCGACCATGCTATTTGCAGCTCGCAGAAAAGACCTATATCCATTATTCACTGAGAGTGCAGAATCTACCCAACTGCTAGAAGGCAATGCTATGTCCCCACCACCTCAGTTCCAGCAGCCATGCTGCCAATGATGACTGCTATTTTCAGAGCTCCACAACACCTGAACAACCTCTGAAATGCTTGTTATTATCTGTTACTTTAAGAATCACAATATAGCTGCAGAATTAAGTTCTGCCTTGGATATTCCCTTGCAAACATTTATGATTTACTACACTTAAGTGCTATTGCCTAAGCAGCTTTTTAATCTTTAACTGCTATTCTACCTGCTTTAGAGTTTGTATTTTACATCAAAAAATTTTATAGCATTAAAAAAATCATAAAAAATAAAATACACAAATAAAGTTTCAAAATTTTAAAAATTATAAAAAAATATGATAATTCTTTCTTCTATCTAAGCCATAGAGCCATGTGGCTCCCGCTAGTTTTTCCATAGCTATGTTTTGTGTATTTTTTTCCTTCTGCTCACTTTTTAATTATTCTGATATGGAAGTAAATGGTTCCTAGCCGTAGGCACACAAAAAACCTAATTGGTACTTTTCTGTTTTGCGAGTACAAACGATAAAGTCGCCAACAATGGTACAACTGATGCCAAATGGAATATCTTTGCTGGTAACCCTTTACACCTCATTTTCAAAACAAGTCGCAGCCCTTTCTTATTAGATTGATTGTTTCTTCCAATACTGGCATACAATTACACAGAAATTTTACAAGATAGTTAAATTTAATGCCCTAAGACCATTCGTGGTAATTAAAGCAATTAGAGTGTAATCACACCGCTCACCCGAAGGTGAAAATAAAGAAAAGGCAAAATCAAGGGTTAAATTCATCAAATTCATCATTTCTGATCAGAATGCACTAGCGAAGTAAAGCACTGAAGTTTTACATAATTTCTGAGTAAGCTCATACAAATTGAAATAATTCTTGCATTAAACTTGTATTCCCAAATTGTTTAACTGAAATAATGTAGATATTACTCACAGAATTAGATTTTGTAGCCATAGTTTACGTGAAATGAGATCACTTGGGGTCACGTGATAGGAATCGGCGAATCAGGAGGTTGAACTATGAAAGCATAGTAAATTCTTAAATTAATGTCTTTTTACAAAATTTTAAACCATAATAAAATATTTATGCCTTTAAAATAAAAAATTCTTAGAACTAACGTTTGTTAACATTTTTTATGTGTATACTGTATGTTGTCGCCAACAAAGTCTGCTTTACGAGATTTGCGCCGGCGAAACGGAAAAGTACCAACTAATCTTTGGACTATGAAAAATAAGTTGATCATCTTTAATCGATTCGATTTTATTTCGTTTAAAATATTTCGTAAATACGTAAACAACAAATATCATTTTAATTATTGAACAGAATAGTCAGATACCTGATTAAAAGGGAAATTAATGAGCCACAAAGCAATATGGCCTCTTTCGTTCAATGGAACGGCAACATAATTTTTTGAACATACACAAACGTTTGTTACCATCTGGGCAGGACAAGGCAATCGATAGCATTCTAAATCCGACATTCTTCTTCTAAATAAATAAAATTCTGCTAACTAATAAAAATAATTTTGAAGTCTAGCAACAACAAAACTGACTTGAGAACTACGGTTCGTAACTTTTGTTTACAATATCAGTAACCATGGAAACTTATAATAGCAGTTAAGTACTTTTTATGAAAAAAGGAATAAACTTTCACGTAAGAGTAGAAAATGTTTGATATTTAATTTTGAAAATGAGACTCAAAATATTACTCATATGATAAATAATATATTAATTTTGATTATAATCAAAACAGAAGTGATTGATAAAATACATAATTGACCGAACTTTGTTTTAAACTTTCATCATGCGCTATAATTCTTTAAAATACATAATTTGTATAAAATTTCAACAGGATATCTAACAAATACTTTAAAAATTTCATTCGGGAGTAATTTTGGCCTCCGAAAAATACCATTAATTTTAAAAAAAGGTGGGGATAGAGGTGATTGGATTATAAAACATTTTACAAGCTGTGTAATGAAAGATTTTAATTTCCTTGAATTGTAATTGTTTAAATCTGTTAGGGATTCTCGCTTCGTACTATGTAAATTTTTTAATAATGCTGTATTTGTGATTTCGTGTTTCATATATATTTTAAAAGAAATACATCAAAATTCATTGAGCACTTAGAAAGGGTAATATTTACGAATCATTTGCAGAATGTTATTTTTTGCCAATTAATAATTTCTTATGTACTGGTTTTTCCGTGATTAGGTTTATTTGATTTAATGCCTTTGTATTGCATCATTTTCATTCTATTCAGTAGACATCTTGGTGTTTAAATTACCAGTTTTAGTAGTTCAAACTGAAATACGTATACTGTTAATGGTTAATTGATTAGTCGCATTTTCGTGTACTTGATTCTAACTTTGTTTGATAAGTTTAGAATACAAATAAGATCCCATTTTAGGATGGAAAAATATTCTAATTTTTGTAGTTATTAAATTAATGGTATTAATAATCACGAAAACTGAGTAAATTATCATTTTCTGTGTTTTACAGGCAGTCGGATATATTTCTACATCAGTTTAAGATGAGAGAGCCAATAATTTTAAATGTTTATGATATGGTAAGTATTTCATATTCTGCGGCTTATTTTGATATAAATTTAGATATATTTGAAATTTCATGCCATAATTCGTGGTCATATATATGTATATAAAAGCAGAATTATCTTTCATATAAATAAACTGCCAAAGATGTTTAAAATAATTTTATTGATCTTATCGCTGCAATTTTTTTTTTTTTTTTTGTTTTGTTTATTGTTGTTTTGTGTGAAAGGTGTTACTGATAAAGGGGAAAGTGCAGAATCGCCCACTGCTCGGCGCGTTTTTAAGAATTGTACATACTCGGTATCCATGTTTTCACTTAAAAAAATCGACCTGTTTTCACTTAAAAAAAACATCCCAGAGTTGCACAAAAATGGCATTGCACACTTCCTTGATTTTATCCATGTACACATTGACCTATTTTCACTTAAAAAGTCAAAGAAAATTGACAAAAATCCGATTCTTCTTGCTCTTGGAAAAAGCGCCAATTAAATAAGTGGGCAATTCTGCACTCTAGCCCTGACAAAAACAATAAGAATTTCATTTATAAAAATGGAAAGAACTATAGTGTGGAAATTGTAATGTACAGTTTTATAGGACTCCATAAAGTTTTCCTGTATTTTCATTTATGCAGATAAGTTTGAGTAAAATACAAATTGATACATTATCATTCTGATAAATCTAATCATTGTTAAGTGTAATTTTCATTATAAATATAGTTGTTAAATATTTATATTTAAAATCTGTCAAACTATCAGGTTATATGAATTTCAACAACCTTATCAGTAGAATTTGGTTTAATCCTAGTATCCGGTGCACGCGGGATTTGGCGACTTCTATGATGAGCAGTAAAAACGTTACATGTGTGTCATGAGTAGTAAACGGGTCATTCAAAGAGTATATATAGTTATACATAGTATACAGTCAAAAGTCGTTAATCCGGACTCCTCGGGACTTCGGCGATTCCGGATTATCGATTTTTCCGGATTATAGATCATCAGTTTAAATCTAGTAAGATGGCATGCAGAAATTACAAAATTAAAATATGAAACCGTAATTTATGAAATAAAGAACAATTATGATCTAAAGGGTATCAAAATTTACAAAAAGAAAAAGCTTAATATTTATTTGTTTACTTTATTAAACATTTCCTTCAATGTAAGTTGCTTCGTTTCATGTGATAATACTTTCTCTTTAATTCTATTAAACAGACATAATTTCTTGTTTAGTTACAAAGTTCTGCTGTTCAAGTCCTATAATTGCTGTGTTGAGAATACCGACTAATTTGCAATCGAAATGTTTTCGTTTTCAGTAACCTCTGGGTCACTTTCTTCACTATCGGAAGCGAATGGTAATGACGAGGAACTTGATTTAAATCATATCAAAGACGGAGTACATCGAGATGAAATACTACACTTAGTATGGAATTATAAACCAAATAAAATAAAAACATCTGCCCTGAAGATAAGGATAGTGCTGACAGATTAACTTCCAATCCGCCGCGTGAAATTGATAAACAGATTTCGGATTTCAAAACATACTTTCGCTTTGTAGATACAAATTACATATTAGTAAATATATATCGGAAATTCTATTTGACATAATCTTTCTAATCTATCATAATCTAATAATGACGTTTCTGCCCCCGCCCTCTGCCGCAGAGCAGCGTGAAATTGATAAACAGATTTCGGATTTCAAAACATACTTTCGCTTTGTAGTAAATATATATCGGAAATTCTATTTGACATAATCGAAAGTTCAAGCTTACTTTTATAAAATTGCTCTAACAGTCTGCAAAAAATAATAAGTCGGATCCAATTCGAAGATTAAGGAACAACGCAATCTGCAACATTAACTGAATTAGATAACTTTAGCTTAGCGTATCACACACATTAAACGCGCCGTTACACAAATGCGCATGCGCACAAACATATTCGCAGCCATAAGGGTCTTACGCGCTCTCGTAAACGCGACGCATGCGCAGAAAGTTTGTAGCTTTGAGGTCCTGATTATGGGTGTCCGAATTAACGACTTTTGACTGTACTATGTATGTAGTGATAGTGTATCTTTGACGTTCTTTGGATCATTTGTGGCGTTGACGATAATTTTCAAAATCATGCCAAGGCTGCACCATAATTAATATACAGAGGATGGAAAAATCAAATTGATATATTAAAATATGAAATGTGTAATTAACATGAATGCTTAATTATATGTGAGCATTAAAAATATGATTTGTTGATTCAAAACTATAATGACAAAATTTAAGATACTTGTCTTATGTAACAGCCTTGGGGAGAGAAAGCAGTGATGGCCCAATTGGGGCGTAAGAAATACGGTTTGTTACAAAATGTCTTGCAGATGTCCTTGAAAACTAAGTTGATTACAATAAAAGATAAATCAGTAATTTTTTAGGTAATAAAAGATAATGATATGCTCTCGAAATAATGAATGTAAAAAAAAATGAGAGATAAATTGGCAAAACAACATAATTTATCGCAACCTATTTAACATTGAAAAATTCACTCTTTACCCTCTCTTTTTAGTGACAGAGTTTAGCAATTACTTAATAATGTCTCAAATATCAACTATAGCCTCTTTTTCTTGATAGAAGATTGGAAATAGTGATTATAGTGAATACACAACAGTTGACACAATGTAATTAAGAAAAATCATATTGTCAACTGTTTGTTTCTCAGAGATGTACAGATAGATTCTTTTTGTAGAAATGAACCATATCAGCATTTTTGCCAAGGCCTTTACAGAAGGCAAAGTACCAAATTAAATATTAGAAAAGTGTCATAATTTTAATATTTTAAATAAAATATCAATCTCTATTTCATCACTTAAGAAGAAAGCTGATATTTGAATTAGCAGAAACAATTTTATTATTATTATTATTATTATTATTATTATTATTATTATTATTATTATTATTATTATAAGAATTCGTAAAAATTTTTCCTTTAAATTTAACATTAAAAAAAAAGTTTAAATGTGTGTTGTAATTAAAAAGTATAGATAAGCGAAATTCCTCCATGGTAGGTTTTAAAGTTGCGTTTGTTTGAATGTTAATTTGACAATAGCCATAGAAAATTTGCATTTGAAAAGAAACCTAAAGCATATTTTATTGGAAAAAAAAATTCTGCCATTTAAGGTAACTGTAAAATTTTTTAATAATTTTCATATACCGCTGTGCTGGAGTAAAGTATAAGGGGCTTGCCAAATTAATTGATTTCATTTAGATAATGATTTTAATCTTCTAACCTACTTGCTAGTATGTAACACCAAGATTGTACAATTAAGTTTTAGTGTTTTCTATTAACCCATTAACCGCCAAAACTACAAGGAATGTTTCTTTTCTCATGAAAATGATAACAAATATTAAATTAAGCATTTATATCATAAATTTACATTGAAAATAAAAAAGGTGCTCGACTAATCTTTGGAATATGGTAACAGGTAGTTTGGCGACATTTTGGTAGGCGATAAAGGTTACTACCTAGGACTTTGGGAATAATGTGAGACGTACTGAGTTCCGATTACGCATTATTTTGTGTGAGGGAAATGAGAGATCATGAGATATGTGACATTTATGGACAAATCACAGTTCTTTAATCGGAAAAGGGGGTAAATTCGTAAAAATATCGGTTGATCTTTACAATATGGTAACTGGTAGTTTAGCGACATTTTGGAGGCGATAAAGGTTACTACCTGGGACTTTGGTAATAATGTGAGCAGTACTCAGTTCCGATTACGCATTATTTTGTGTGAGGGAAATGAGAGATCATGGGATATGTCATGTGATATTAATGGACGAATTACGGTTCTTTAATCGAAAAAGGGGGGAAATCGGGAAAAAATCTGGAAAATTTTGTATTTGGCTTTATTCTGTGTTGTGTGAAACATAAACTGTGTTCCTGAATTTTTGGATCCCATGGCCGTAACTAAAGTGAATTCAAAATGCGGTATTTATGGGTATTTATGTTGTATTAATTTAATGTATGTGCTCATTTATATTTTAAGTAGTGTTTTTGAATTTAATTATATTTTAATTAAATGATAGTTATTTTGTGAATTTTATGTGTGTAGGAATTTGGTATACGTTTTAGTTGAAGTAAACGTTCATGGAAATAATTTAAATATCTGACACTAAGTATTTGTAATGGTTGCGGTATGAATTCGTTGGTGATGTGTATAATGTAATAGGTGATTTAGAGGTAAAAGTTTTTGGATATTTTATTTATTTTATATGTGGAAATGTTCATATTTGGAAAGGGTAAATACTTTTTCGCGATCAGGTAATTTCATATATGTTCTTTTTACCGGGTTTAAAGATTGAGAAAATTGTCATGTATTTTCGTGAAATTTTTCTGATTTATGAGAAAAAAGCAGTGTACATGGATATAGTGAAGAGTGCGCAATGCCATTTTTGTGCAATTCTGGGAAGGTTTTTTAAGTAAAAATAAGTCGACGTATACATGGTTTAGTGATATTTTAATTAAATGATAGTTATTTTGTGAATTTTATGTTTGTAGGAATTTGGTACACGTTTAAGTTGAAGTAAACGTGCATGGAAATAATTTAAATTTCTGATACTAAGTATTTGTAATGCTTGCGGTATGAATTCGTTGGTGACGTGTATAATGTAATAGATGATTTAGAGGTAAAAGTTTTTGGATATTTTATTTATTTTATATGTGGAAATGTTCATATTTGGAAAAGGTAAATACTTTTTCGCGATCAGGTAATTTCATATATGTTCTTTTTACCGGGTTTGAAGATTGAGAAAATTGTCATGTATTTTCGTGAAATTTTTCTAATTTATGAGAAAAAAAGCAGTGCACATGGATATAGTGAAGAGTGTGCGCAATGCCATTTTTTTGCAATTCTGGGATTTTTTTTTAAGTAAAAATAAGTCGGCGTGTACATGGTTTGTGTGTATGTGTTATTTTGAAAACTAAAGTGAATTCGAAATGGGTATTTAGTGGGATTGAAAGGGGTAGTAATAAGTGTTTCT